AGTGTATTTTTTGGTTTAAAAAATACAAAAAATAGAAGATCTTGTAGTATCCTGTTACTTTATATACATATTTTGAAGCTTTTATATCCATATTATGAAAATATGTTTAATTTAGCTACTAATATTTGCTAAATTAATTTTTATTTGCAATGATTTGCAAAAATATTCAGGGGCGAATCCAGCATCTTTTGGTGTTTGAGATAGCTAACTTCCAGACATGGAGCAAACTCCAAACATTCATATGTTTATACTTATATCAAATAAGGATGGTTGGCAAAAAATTGCGATGATTGGAGCCTCGGAACAAAAAAGACCCAAAATTTGAAATATACCTGCCCCAAACGTGAGAGCAACAAGTTAATAAAATATTTTTTGTACTATTCTCAACAAGACTTATATTTATCCATAAATTTTAAATTTCATTGTAAAATATTTCAGCGTTCAAAAATTATGACCATGTAAAGTTTGAATCCCCCTCAATTCGAGGGGGTTACAATTTTTATATTGTCATAATTTTTGAGCGCTAAAATATTTTACTATGAAATTTAAAATTTATTGATAAATAAGTCTTGTTGAGAATAGTACAAAAAATATTTTATCAATTTGTTGCTCTCACATTTGGAGCAGGTACATCTCAAATTTTGGCGCTTTTTTGTTCCCAGCCTCCAATCATCGCAATTTTTTGCAAACCATCCTTATTTGACATAAGTATAAACATATAAATGTTTGGAGTTAGCTACATGTCTGGAATTTAGCTATCTTAAACACCAAAAAATGCTGGATTCACCCCTGATATTGTATATAAAATATAACATCGCGAACAAAATAATACAATATGTTATAATATAATGAACATTTTTATTCAAAAATAAGACTATTTAATTATAGTTAATATTATAATAATTAAAAGAAAATATTTCTACATAAAAAAATGAAAACCTATTGATAAATTGTTTTATTTTTAACTTAAGACTATTTATATTATGTCAAGCATTAATAGAAATCAAATCCATTTATTTATAAGAGAAAACAAATTATCATTATCAAATGAAAAAGATAAGCTGGTAGTTTTTAATTTTATTAGTGAACAACTTAGCAATTCTAAATGTACGGTTCAATTTTCAAAATTTACTTTTGAATACAGAAAGCGATGGGCTGCAAGTGATATTACAATGATATATTTTTGGATAAAAATTTAGCCTGGCTTTGCAAAGACTTTATTAGTCCCCAACAAACTTTTTCTTTATATAATACAGAAACTACACCTAAATTATCTCTTGGCAGGCCTTGTAAATCATTTGAAGAATCATC